ACGCTGTTCTTGTTGAAAGTCGATGGATGTAATCGTTGCCCAACCAAAACTCGCCATTCAGGTTTCCAAAACCTGTTTTATACTGCTGCCAATTGCGATAGAAATCAACCGATCCATCTTGTCTTCGCTGGAATACAGTCCAACCCCCACCGTCAGTTGTCATGTCACAGTAGACTTGAAATGCAGGCTGCTTGTCGGGTTGAACTGTGTACACGCCGTTACGTCTCTCTCCCAATTCGTATAAATGTGAGCAATCATCACCATAGGGCTGAACGGTAGACTTTGAACGTTTGAAAAAAGGACCACCACTTGTTGCAGTACAAACATACACGCCATAATCTATGGTTTTCAAATCTTTTAGGATCAAAGAACCATCTTTCACTTCATACCTGCCTTCAGGAAGAACGCCATTTTCTCTTGTCCACGTTATGACTGGGGTAGGCTCTCCTCTAGCACTACAATTCAAATGAATAGTCTTTCCAGGGAGGACAACGAGATATGAAGGAGGTTTTACAGTGAAGCTTGGCGACAAAACAACAACAAGAATTGTTTCCTTGGTAACAGAACCAAAATCATTCTCAGCTTTACAAAAGTATGACCCAGTATCTTCTCTCTTGGATTTCATCAACATCAGCAGTCCATCCATGATAAAAGTGCGCCTACTTGGCAAGGAACCAGGAGACTTCGACCATGTGATATGTGGTTTAGGATGTCCTTTTACGTGACATCTTGGCATAACAATGTTGGTGCCAATCTCTTTATAGATTGGTCCTTTGATTAAGGATACTCGGGGACTAAAGTTCACTTCGATTTCTGATTTGCCTTCTGCACTGCCAAGAATATTGGAAGCTTTACACTGATACGTCCCAGAATCATGAATAGTGACATCTTTTAATTCCAGTTTCCCGCTACTGTCGACAAGAAATCTCTCTTTTGGTAATGAACCATTGACTTTACTCCACGCAACAACAGGTTGTGGATATCCACTGGCAGAACATTTCAAGATGGCCGACTGACTTTGATTGATAACCAAACGTGGAGGTGAAATAATTACTGGTGGTACTACGGACTGACCTGGTGGTCCTCTCGGTCCTGGTATTTCCTTCTCTAACTGTAAGTCTCCTAATTCTTGTATGATCTGTAAAATGTACCGTTTGAGCTCAGCCAAATCAGCCGCAATTTGTTCTTCATCTGTTATGGTAGCTCTTTTTTTTCTTTTGAGATCAAAAATAGGATCCTTGTTGATTTGGTCGTAAAAACCATTCATTCTTGTGACTTGAGCATTTAACATCGACTTGATGTTCTTAATATCTGCAGTATTCTTGTCGCGTTGTGCTTTCATCCTTTCCAAGTTATCAACTCGTGCTATTTGCTCGTTTAAGACAAATTCAATGAGGAAAAACTGGCCAAAGCATAATAACAGCATCACTGTTGAAATCAAGATGGTAGACTTAGTTGGTGAGCACATACGAKCAAYTTTGTCTTCCATTTTGAAGGCGAAAGACTGAAATGTCAGCAAGCTATGATCCCAACAACTGAATGTCTTATGAAATGCAAAGTGCAAATTGTGCTGACAATTTTGTTTTACGTCTTAATAAACGTCACATCTATACAGCATGGACATCCTGTATGGTTGGTTCACTAATCAGGTTTATGACGGTAAAACAGCTGGTGTATCTTGGGGCGTTGATCGAAAAAGGGACGATATATATACTCCATCGTATCTTTTTTAGCTGTTAATTCTTTCTTCTAACAGGTCTCTTGTGACTCGAACTTTTTGTTGCCAGATGATGCAGGCAATTTTTTCTTCTTTTTGAAAGAAATGGTTTTAGCGAGATATTGTTTTTGAATAAAGTAAAAAATCATTTGAATTAAAGTCAAAAGACCAATTTTTCTTCCCTCAGGGTGTAAATTGAGTTAACTATTGACTCCTAGTATGCTAATTCTAATTAATCTTAGATGTATTTTGTATTTTATACCATGTAGTAATTATCTATGAAATGACTATATTTCTGTCCTTTTTCAATACACCTTTTCAGTTGCTCGTAGGCCTCGACAGCGTGTTAAATATTCTTTTGAATTTGTAGTAATTAATGTGAGCAATGCACACATTGATATGAATTGGCTCATTTTTTCAATTCAAAAGAATAATTAACTTGCTATCGAGGCATAAGAGTAACTGAAAAGGTGTATTGTGAAAACAACGCAATCGTGGTTTATCTATAATTGGAAATAAATAAATAAAAGTTATTTTTGAAGTCCAAAGACTGAAATGGCAGCAAACTATTAATTCAAGAACTGGGTTTGATATCGATGAAATGCAAAATGAAAATCGTSTTATAACAATTTTGTTTATGTCTTAATAAACGTCGATCTATACGCAGTATGGACATCCTGTATGGTTGGTTCGCTAATSAGGTTTATGGCGGTAAAACAGATGTTGTTTATCGAGTCSATTTTGCCGTTCATACCATGTTTTGAAGTCGTCTTGTTTGCMAGCTTGATGTCTCTTGAATACAGCTCGTTTAGCATTAACGACAGCACATTCACAAACTAATGACCAAATATAGTCATGGCAATCCAACTGCCATATTTCAGTAAATAAAACAGTATCGAAGCAAACAGGAAGACACAATGAAAGTGATACAATATCTCATGCTTTCAGGGGCGGATCTAGTACTTTATAAGGAGAGCGCTTTTGTCAGTAATATATAGCTAAGTATCAGACTCGTAACATGGTATATGGGCTCAGGGCTCATTGGCCAAATGGCCGGGCTCAATTCCGAAATCCTGGTTGGGCTCTGGGCTCAAAGTGCTGGGCTCACGGCTCAAGAGAAAAAAATCGGGATACTATAATAATAATGCATTTAATTCGAGTTAAAATCATTTTTAATGATTTTTTTCTGTGAAAGAAGTATCTAAAAAGCACTAATTTAAACTGCGGAATATTCGAAAAAACATCGTTTCCGAAGTAGTTCCGAATACCGATGAGGTTCGTGCACATGTTCCRTGAAGTCAGGTAATTCGATCCCATCTTTAGGTGGCGTGGTCGTTCTGGAATATCTGAAAATTAAGTCTTTCTTTTCTTCTAAATTTTACTGCGTTKCCATCAAATGAGGTAAAAAGAGTTTTTGGCAATTTTCTCAGTTATCAGTAAAATTCTCGGTTCTCAGTTAAGCCACATGTTAATTATTATTTTTGTGTAATAATTAACGACTAAATATTCAGTTATTAAGAAAATTACGTTTTACCAGTGTTCTTTCAGTCTAAGAAAATTCCCCAAATGGTACTTCAGCTTTAATACTGAGCTCTGAACACTGTAGTCAATATTGGAACTCCGATAACTCTCTAAGTATACCTCCTCCCCTTTTCTATGGTAGTAAACTAATACTTTCACCATTAATAACGATGATAGAGCAGTTGATTATGTGGGAGGCTGATGAGCGCTGAAGGCGCGACTTTTTAGGGGGGTACGGGGGCATTCCACCCAGAAAATGTTGGATTTTTAATCATTGAAAATGTGATTTCCAGCACTTTTGAGAGAATCGAGAAGACACATACATAATGCATTAATTTTATGGAAATTTTGCGTGACTTAACAACGAAAAAAAGGCATTTTTGATCGTTCGCTTGAAGCGGTGGTGCCTGCCAGAGTGTGTGGTAGCACATGCAAAGCGAAGGAATTGTCTTCGGGGTCGTATCTTTGTTGGCGCCTTCATTCAGCGTTATTCCAAACTAAACATCCAATGAGAGTCGATGTCACGTGACCGCCATTTTTGAAAAACAACAACAACAACAACAACAGAGAAGTCCTGGAAACAAGGTTCACTGGCATGCAAAACATGTGCAAACAAAGGAATATCAGCTAACAGTTATMTTGTTAATATCAGTTATCAGCTAGATAAACCCGAAATTCTCAGTTAACAGTTATTATTTTAGCCGTTTCTCAGTTAACAGTTAACCCCATTCAGACCCTGATTCAATTCCTCCWAATTCGAGCCATGTCACTACTTGTGTTATTATGTATATTTTTTGTCATACTGTATAAGGAGACCTCCTTCGGTTTTAGCTAAGATCTTTTGAACACTATTCAAAGCAATTCTTGCGCAAACAACTTAAATGGGCTCAAAATGTTTGCACGGGCTCAGGGATCAAACATTTGATGAGAATCGGGCTCATGGATCAATATTTTCACCAAAAAATAGGGCTCACTAGATCCTAGATATACCATGTTACGAGTCTGTAAGTATAACAGTTAGAAGGATCATTTTTGTTAGCTGCGCATTGTCTAGAGCAAGAACATTATGCACAATTTGACGGGAAGCAAATCGACTTTTATTGCAACGCATCTTTGACTACACTATTCATATAGATTGCTAAGCAGCCTAGTGGCAGACACATGTTGTGTATGCTACTCGTTCTCTCGATAAAAGCACAACACGAGTATAAACATCATAAAAAAATGTTTATGCTGATATATAAAACAATCAACGTCGTCCAAAATGCTGCAAATCCCAAAAACCTCCCCTGGAACCGCCCCTGTACTTTTACATGTTCAACCTTGACAACAAAACGACTTCTTGAAAAAGAGCCAAAAGCTTTGRACCACGTGATGTTTGGTTCAGGGAATCCAGTCACGTGACACGTTTGTCGACGAATGTCATCACCAATCTTTCTGTAGATTGGTCCTTTGTTCAAGGATGGAATGGGTTTTATAAATGTTCGTCTTTTTTTATGTACAGAAAAAAAAAATGTTTGAAAGTAACTATCGTAAGTTAAAACATGTAAATTGGCATCAAACTACCCTAATCCTTACCCGATTATAGCCTGATAAGAACAGCTAGAACTAAATTAAAAAAATGATAATGATTTCGAAAACTTGTAAGGTTGAACTTTCTGTTTCTTGCACTGTATGATGATAATAATGATGACGATGACAATACCCCACGAAGGTGAAGGAGTAGCCTCCTTTGCAGACGTTATTATTATCGGTACTAATAACGTCTGCAAAGGAGGCTAGTGAAGGAGTTCATTGCCAAAGATATGTTTAATACTAATACCATGATCACCTCGGATTCCATTGTCTTCCGAGGGGTTTACAAACCCGAATTTCCCTCATGTTATTCATGAGAAAAATTGGAGTTCCTTTGCCTTCTATACTTCCCTAATACCGTCCACAATGAAAATGTAGTAGACTAGATACCCCTCAAAAGAATTTCTACTGAAAACAGGTCTCCTAGACCATCTGGCACTAGCATGTCTTGCATGTGGGACATTGTTTACCTAACTGCGCATGCCTGTGCACTTAGTTAAAAAAAAACGAAAATGTCTATGACAGATTTATTCGCCGTCACATAAAAAATATAATAAAAAATCACTTGTTTAAAATCGTTTGCTATAGCACCACATTGCACTTACACTTTTGCCAACTCGAAATGAAGCATCGAAAGAAATAGCGTTTAATACAGCAAAACTGATATAATCAATCTTAATTTATTGAACTTAGCTGTCTGTTCTAAACGAAAACCTCTCAGACATGTTGTTTGAGYATTGTATAYGAATTTTAATYCTGCGATATAAATATTATCTTTGGTACCCTAAGGGACTACAAAACAAGTGTATGAAATAGTACTAACGAACAAATGTTGAATCAATTACAYAATGAACACAAAGTAATGTGTTTGAAAACTATTGTTTGATTACATAATTATCAAGCCTAGGTGTCCTAGGTGTACAATACGCTAAGGAGCTAGTTATGCATTTTGGCGGCGTTGTTTACGCTTCCTTGACTAGAAAACTGAACATGATATCAAAGATGTTTCCTTACTTCCTCGCCGATAATAGTATATAATAGTAATAGTAATAATACCATGTCACTCGTGAAATTAGTGATTAAATTTCCCTTGTTCCATGGTATTACTTATAATAAGTAAAACTTTCTTTATTGTTGAATATCCTAAGTCGGATAAATCAAGCAACTTCTTGACCTTATAGATCATAATTTCAGTTCTAGCGMTGGCCTTGACCAAAGCACCCTAAGAATTTATGTGTGTATCTCCACAGGTAGCACAAGCTATGCATTCTAACCGTTTTAGTAATTTTGCAAAATATGTTAAGTTAATAAAAATAAACATCTCTTCCAGTTTATTGGGTTTTTCTTTGTTTTCCTGTTGAGTTTCAGGCCATTTTGAGCTTTTTTGAGCCATTTATGGCTATTGCTATCATTTGCCGTTTTTTATTCTTATATTTAAAAAACGTTCATATTTCGCAAAATTAATAAAAACGCAACCCCGTCCCCAGGGCTACTCTGCTCGCTTTTTCAAAATGGCGTCCAGAGATAGATTAGCCCTGGGAACGAGGTTACTAAGAACGGTTAAAATGCATAGCTTGGGCTACCTGTGCTATCTCAAGCGTAAGGCATAAAAAGGTTGACTTACCATCGAGTGTCCATATGATTTTCGTTTACTTGTATTCTGTCCCGTCTGTGCTGCCGCTACGACATATGTTTGTGTTTCGATTGCGCGACTGCGTAAAAGAATCTAAAAATGAAAGAATTAAATAAATAAATAAATAAAAAATAAAAAATGAATGAATGAATGGATGAATGAATGAATGAATAAATAAATAAATAAATTAGAGCGCCTTTTCATAGGAAATATGCCTTGACGTCATTATTTGTAGAACAAAGCATGATGGAAGTTGTAATCTTCGCACTCTTTATATAGCCCTAAAATTTTCCTAAAACCCGTTTTATGTATTCTTTGTAGAAATTGCATAATTACAGTACTAATAATTTTTTCAAAGAAAAAGTAAGAGACTGCTAAGTACTGTTTTGGCGCACGTTAAATATACGAGAACTACAAATCCCAACATGCCTTGTAGCACAAAACGGCGTCGCTGGTCATTGCCTACATCTTAAGTGTTTTTACCCTGCATGCGTTCGCAGTTTTTTCATGAAAAAACTCATACATACTTAATGAGCTTTTATTTTACTTTTTGTGTATTCAATGTGGTATGTGACAAGAGTGCTATGTTAAGCGATTCGCACATGATCAGTTTGCCCCATTTATCTCAAGGTTTATTCTTACAGCAATTTCTCCAAGTATTTTAACGCATTTGAGTTTCAAATTATTGTTGGAATTTTTGAAACCGTTTAAGACACTGGAGATAGTGTTTTAAACTATACATAAAACACAGTTTTTCGCCGATGACATACCTCCCAGTGTGCAGCTCCAGTAGTGAAAGTGAAGGCTGATGGGAAGGTTATGATTTCAGCGCCTTGTTTAGCTAGAGACAACGCTATTTCTGGAAAACGAAGATCATAGCACTAAATTTGTCAAGAGAAAATACACGTATATTTGTTTCCTAGATAACCAGAAAACTAATACAGTTGAGTTAAATCTCTTTGAACGACCACTCTCGTAAGCAACCATTTCCCRTTAGCGATCACATTTTAAATTTCCAGGTTTGTTTCCCATATAAACTCTGTAACAGAACTCTCTCGTAGGCGACCACTCTTGTAGGCGACCGCGAGCACCTTTTGGGATTGAAATTGTAGAATTTTTTATTGCTTTTCCTCTCCCGTAAGCGACCACCCTCGACTCACGCAAAAAGGCGTGGTACAAACCGTAAAAGCGTACTATTTAGTATCAAATACACTATAGTGTTAGTTATACCATAGAAAAATACAGAATTAGGACATTAAAATCAAATACAAGCACGTCAAACTTTGCAATTTTACAATCCTAAGTCAAGAGATAAGCGATTTTAAAGTGGATTAAAGTC